AACTGTTTTGCAGCATGGTGGTGCACTCCTGTAATCCCAGCACTCAGGGGGCTGAAGCAAGAGGACTGCTGTGAGTTCAAGGCTAGTCTGAACCACACAGCGAGACTCTGTCTAAAAAAAAAAAAAAAAAGATTCTAACTGTTCTTGAGAACAAAGTGGGTTTTACATAAAAAGCTCAACAAGAATTAATTTCATCTTGTCTAGGAACAATGAGATCACTCAATTAGAAGATCTACTGTTCCATTCCACAGGCTATACAAACCCAGACTCTTGCAGGGGACAGTAAGACACTCCTACTAGAATGGATAATTGTGGGAGACACCTCATTTACTGGACTGGCAAAAAAAGACATCTAGCAAAAAAAGACATCTGGCAAAAAAAGGCATTTACTAAAAGTAAAAGACACATAGGGCTATGGGCCCCATACACTATTGGGGATAAACGTTAAGTGGTATAACTACTTAGAAAAATAATTTGCCGTTACTCAATAAAACTGACAAGTAACATCCCTGATTTACTATATATCTATCTCAAAACTCACGACATGGGAGACTGTACACTATGACTTCATCTTTCATTCATATGTATTCACATTAACAGACAGAACTGAACTAGGAATTGTCTATGAGGTGAAACTATAAAGAAAGCATCAAAACAAAGCACATGACAGTGATTCACAAAGCAACAAAAGGGATGAAAAAAATGAGCTTCAAAGATACTTTTAATGTCTATTTTCCAAGTTAGATGATGGGTAACAATATTTACTTTGCAGTTATTTAAGTTACATAAAACAGACACTATTTTGCCTGAGTGATATTTTAATAGCATTTACAGTTCTTTGTTCATGGCACAATAGACCTTTTTGAACATATAATTCAGGGAACTGGTGGCGGCAGATTCTAAAAGCAGTAGAGTTTAGTAAATAATGAAAAGCTAAAAACATAACTCTTTAACTGACTTCAAAAGAAAAATGAGGGCTAAGACTAGAACACAGTTGTGGAGCTGAGAGAGAGCTGAAATCTTTACTATGGAAGCACATGAATACCCTGATGCTCAGGGAAAAGAAGCGTTCCAAACACAGAAGCACTGATGGCTACGGTGAAAGCAGGGAAGGAAGAGCAGAGTGACAGAAGAAAAATTGGTTTTAGCCACTGTTTATGTGCCAAGAACAAATATGATCATGCATCAGCTTAAAGATAGCATGAAATTAATCTCTGGATTCATCCATGCCTAGTCATGGCTGACAATGGCTATGCGGATAGGGACTGTATATCTTACCTGCCAGCCTACGATAGCTAATCCATAAATTATCTATTAAATGAGTCAAGAACAGAACACATGTGAAGTATACAAATTCAAATGAAACTATACAGACTGAGCAACTACAACACAAAGTTTAGTCTACTAAGCCACATTTTTTTAATTCAACACGTGGCAATGACAGAAAGGAATTTCACACAGAAAGAACTTCATGAACAAAAGCAAGATAACAAAACTGTGTGGGATTTATTAAAGAAAAGGCCAAATAGTTCTGTGTGGCTAGAAAGTACAGTTCCTACGAAGCTTGTAATGAGTAGAAAATAAGTTAGAACACAAAGGCAAGAACTAAGAACATCTTGGTGGGCTTTGAAGTGATTTGAAAAAAATCAGAGGCCGGGCGTGGTGGTGCACACCACGTAATCCCAGCACTTGGGAGGCTGAGGCAGGACTGATGTGAGTCTGAGACCAGCGTGGGCTACATTGTGGGTTCAAGGTCAATGCGGACTACATAGCAAGACCCTGTCTCAAAAAAACAAACAAAACAAAGCATCACTGGACACATCTAATGAAAGAAGTTATTTTAAGTGAGTGTCTGAATAAAAGTATGAAGTGAAAAAAGCTAAGAAATAATGCTCAAGGTATCACCAAAATTATATAAGAATATATCAGGACACGAACTAGGAGTTGCACAAAAATAAAACAAAATCATGTTTTCATTCACTTTATGCCAGTTAGCAGGCTCTACACTACACTAGAGCCACAACAAGTGAAAATCATTTTCCCTGCCCCAGAAATGTATGTGCTGGTAAGGAAGACAAATAAAAAGCAAACATGCCAGCTACAGGCTGTGGAAGACGAAGGGAACAGAGTGGTGAAGAGGCTACTTTGCCAAGTGCTCTGGGCAAGGTTTTTTTTGAGATAGAGCAACTGAAGCTGAGAACAAAGAATCAAAAGTAGCCACCGAAGGGGAAGAAGTACCTTAAGAAGTAATTCAGGTGGAGAAAACACAGAAGTATTGTGATGCAGCCTAGAAAAAAATGTAGAGTTTAGAGAAAAAGAGCACAATATCCTGAAGGCATGATGGGAAGCTGAGATTTCATTCAAAGTAGATAAGGTTGGTGGCATATAAATAGAGCAAAGCAGGTAGATTTAATAAATTGTGGCAGCTGGATCAGTAGGATTTGTGTTGAGGGTAGAAAGAAAACAAAGTTAGGTTAATATCTAGGGTTTCTAACTTTGTTCAAGCAGGTAGCAGTCCCATTTACAAAGATGAGAGACTGAGAACAGCACCAAGGAGATAAAAGTTCAACTAACTTGTTCAAGGTTGTGATAACTGCTCCATTAACAATCTGAATCCAGGGCCAGGGGTGAACTCAGGAGTAAAATGCACATTTAATTCACAGGCGAACCTGGGTTCAATACCCTCTAGCTTCCCTTCCCCTAAAAGATGTTGACTCCAGGTCTTCAGCATTGTCCCAGCCACTATGTAACACTGCACCCCTAAGTACACAGTTAATCAAGACAGGAAAAAAGTAAATGAGAGTACAGTGTAAGGAGTTTTTAAAAATTGTGTCTGGACACATCCAATGTGGCATCTCCACAGGATATCCACATGGAGACATTATAAAAGAATAAGTCTTGATTATTGCATGTAAAGAAAAATCAATTAAGATGTTATAGAATAACTGGCAGTACCTGCAACTAGCACAGTAAATAAGATAGCAGAAGTATAAAAAAATTTAAATTTTTTATGTAAATTATGGTATCTGGGAAATATTCATGACTAAAATATGAGAAATCGAGAATTTTTTTTAAAGCCTACAATTATATCATAATCTAGCTGCCTAAAACTGTTTCAGTGTCAGACAGGTATCTGCAGAGAGGGCAAGAGAAGTCATTAAAAACTGATCTTAATAATACTTAACTGGTGGGGAACAAAAGCAGAGGAACACATAAATGAGTAAGAGATGCTCACTGAGCTCTTCATAAATCTACAATAACCCAGAAGGCCTTCACTTGCCCTTTTAAGGACAGGGGTCACTAGTAAGCTTCTGATTTCCTAGGTAAGCTGGTAATAAAAAAAAGTCCTTTTAAGGTGGTACACAGGAGCACTGACTTAAGTTTATAAATCCACCTCTTGTGAAAAGGATTAATCAGTTGATTAGCACTCATCAATTCTGAGAGTTGATATAAATAGTAATTCATGAAACCATGAAATAGAAAAAAAGTAAGTCTATCAGCCAACCCAAACCCGCTACCTGTCTGTGAAACATCCCTGTTACTAGTGTACTTTTATCACTATCCCACTTTAGACAGTGCTTCACTCTTAGAAGAATGTCATAAAACACTCATTGAATAAATTACCTCCATCAGATAGATTTATGCCACCTATCTGTTGCCTTCTTCAACTCTAATTCAAAGAGTGGCTGTGTGACAGAAACAATTCAATAAGAAAGAGGTTCCTATGAGATGACTTGAACATTTTCTCAAATGCATACAGAGTCCTTATACTTAAGTATAATTCAAGTCTACCTATCAACTCTTTTAATGTCTAAAGATACGTCATTTATTCTTGAACACACCTGTCTCCAATGAGCCAGTGAAAGCCAAAAGTAGTAGTAGGAAAGTAATACAAATGGATAGAACAAAGCATTCCCAAGTTAATCTCTTCCTACATTTTTCAAACTGCCATTGTAGACTTGTGGACATTAAACTCAACAATAACTACAAATAGTAATGACTACTACAGGTCAACACATAAATCATTTCCTTTACTTCAAACAATAACTGCGGCATAAACACTTCTCTCCACTTGACAAATGAGGAAAACACAGCTTAGAAAAGCTAAAGTCACAGAGCTGGTAAGTGGCAGAGCTGAAAAAGACTGAGCCCTTAAACACCACGTTATTTTTTTTATCCACTTTATGTGTGCTTAACAAACTCAATTGTATCTGGATTGAAATTACCCCGTTTCCACCTAAACGTAATTCCCTACAATTTTCACATGAACTTGAAACAAATGTCTTTATTACAAATGTCTAAGGTCTGTATTAACAGTAAGTAAAAAAAATGTAAGTAAAGGACGTAAATGTGAGAAGACCCACAAATGCATTTTGATTAGGAACACAACAGACCATCGCTCCCGAGCTGCCTCTTTCCTGCTCAGACCATTCCATTTCCCAGGCTTTCCACACATGTCCTAGTTCATCCACCCTAACCACAGAGAACATGGCTATTCCCTACCGCGCTTTTCATGTGGTTCAGCATGAACAATTTTGCGGTTGCAGGTAAAGCTCTGAACGCCAGGCTCAAAAGAGTGTCTACATAGGAAACCTCTTGAGAAGCTACAGATGTCAAAAGTCCGGCAAGAAAGCACTGCTATGGCCCTTACTCTCCCTCCCCAGAACTTCAAACGAAACAGTAAATCCTCCTGCATACCACGGGCAACGGCCTGCTCTTTCCTCAATCTCTCTGGCATCTCAAAGCAAGACCCCAAGCCCCTGTCACTCTCCGCCTCGGTTCACTTTCTCAGCCCCGCCCCCGCCGGCCTCAGTCAGAAGACAGAGACCGCTGCGGTGTCTCTCCAGCGAACAGTGACGATGAAAGCGAAGGGCACTCGGGGAAATCCCAGGGCCAGCCTCCCCAGCCCCAGAGCAAGCTCAGCCGGGAAGAGCTTCTGGCGGGGCCGGGCGAGGAGCCGCGCTCCCCACGTGGGCCTGCGCACGCGGAACTCCACTCACCAAGCCATCTATCTGCACTTGCTTCACGGCCGAATCTGCAGAGCCGCCTTTTCCTTTGCCTTTCCCCACCGCGCCGGAGGTAGAGCTGGAAGAGGCGGCGGTAGAGCCTGAACCTTCCTTGCGGGACGCCATCTTTCCAGCCGGACAGGAAGAAAGAAAAACGTGAGTTGCCGGAAGCGGAAGTATGAGCGCTCCGTGACGTCCTTAGCAGTTGACGGGGCGGAGCCGGGAAGAACGACCAGGGTGGGGCTACACCTCCCTTTTTCGGTTCCGCCCCTTCTTCGGGCGGGAGACTTGGCGCATGCGCACTTTTGCTTACCTCGCCACTGAATGAATGCTTAATGAAGAAAGTAGATTTTCCCAAAATACGGAATTACTCTCCGCAGCTGAGACTTGGTTTCTTCAACATTCTGTTAATCAAGGCCAAGCGGGAATTGCGTACCTTGTCTTATGCAATTTTAGATAATTGTCTCTGACTGCTTAGTTTATAAGAAATGAATTAAAACATGGGAACTATGAGCAGTTACCGAAAGTAAAAGCCTTTTGCTGCTATAATTTCACGTAGCGATTTACATGAGTAAAGCACAAAAGAAGTAATTTTATGTACTGCTGAAGGATGATGCAGACCATCCCCTACAAATCCTACTAACTTACAATCTATAGTTTTAAAATACCTCAAATCCTTAGTACCTGAAATATCATACATGTAGATTCTCAAATATATATTCTCCATACCTCTGCATGAAACACAAAAGCACGCCCATCTGACCATTCAGCATTCCCATGTAAATGTCTGGTAGGCACCTCCAAGTTAGCCTTTCCAAAACTGAGCTGCAGATACCTCCTAAACCCCTAAAAAGAAATGTTCTTAGTCCAGTGTCTTCAGTGCCTCCTGCCTCAGGATCCCAGAGTGCCGTGAGAGCACTCTGTTCCACTAAATAATCCTGTAGGTTCCATCTTGAAAAAGTATTCAGAATCCATGTTTCTGCTTCTGGAAAGATGGAGTGGACAGATTTTCCCCAATTCCTCACAATAAGTACAACTAAACTCCTGGACATTATGTGCAAAAGAAAGTAACTCTGAGAGAGAGAAGAAAAACAGACAAGGGACCCCAAAGTGATTTCCTACAGTTTCTATTTGAAACATTGATGCCAGACTTGGAAGCTGAAATCCAGTGTCTTGGACATAGCAACAGGCAGATAAACAAACAAAAAGTTGCAACAAGAGCCTGTTCTGTCAGTGCTGGAGACCATGTGGGAAGCTTGTGTTTCCATCCTTAGCAGACAGTGCTGAAACACCCATGCCACTCCCCAATAAATTGATGTCAGAGGCCTAGTGGAGAATAAGGATTGCATCAGAGCCAAGTGGTAATGAGGTTGCCCACTTTATGGTGTTAGTGGAGACGACATGGAGAGTCCTAAAGAGAATTGCTTCCCCTCCTGCACAGGTGGGGTTGGTAGAGACCCAGTGGGCAATGAACTTCCCCTCACCCTATCATAACAAGGAACCATCTTTACCCTTAGAATTCAGTGTAGGTTCACTCTTAGCATACAGTTATTTTTACACCCTCTTAGAAGAATAGCAAGGAGGAATCCTTCCTCTACCCTTGATTGCCAGAGCTGTCTCATAAAAATCCAACCAAAGTATGCACCAATAAGGTAAAGAGCTTGGTAACAAAATATTCAAATATCTATGTTTTAATTTTTAAAAATCATCATCTCATCAAATACCAAAGGAAATCTTAAACTGGATTAAAAAAGCAAACCAATAGAATGCCAACAGTGAAAAGATAGAGAATTTAGACTTCTGTGACAAAGGTGCTAAGGTAGTCATCATAAAATGTTTCAATAAGCAATTACAAATACACTTGAAACAAATAAAAACACAGCTCAGCCAACAAATTCAAAATGTTACTCAAAATATGAAAGATGTGTCAGAATATAGCGAGAACTTAGAATTTTAAAAAAATGAAACAATGGGGACCAAAAACTCAGTGAATGGTTTTAATGGCAAAATGAAAAGGAAAACAGAAAAAAATTGAAGAGGAGATTAAATGGTAAAAATTACTCAAAATTAACAAGATAAAATGGTGAAAGCACAATGGAAAATATGATGGTAGTTCTCAAAAAATAAACAAAGAATTTACCAAACATTTCAGCAATTTCTCTTCCAGGTATACATGCCAGAGAATGGAAAAAAATGACTCAAACAGATATTTGTATATCAGTGTTGATAGCATCATTCACAATATCCAAAAGGTAGAATCAATTAAAATGCCCACTAATGAAAAAATGAGTGAACAAAATGTGGCATATATATACAATGGGATCTTAGTCAGCCTTAAGTAGGAACATTATGCCAAGTGCAATAAGGAATAATAACACACCTACTTTAAAAGAACAACTAAAACAAATTAAAGAAAAGACAGAATACAAAATTAACAATGAAAAAAATCAGTAGATTCTCTACATACTATTACAAACTAGAGAAGAAAGAATCAGGAAAATGATTGCATTCACAACAGCTGCAAAAAAATTAAAAATGAAAGACCTAGAAATGAACCCAGTCAAGGAGGTAAAAGACCTCTTCAAGGAAAATTACAGACCACTGAGGAAAGACACTAAATGATGGAAAGACCTCCCTTGGATCAGCAGAATCAATACTGTTAAAATGGCCATATTATCAAAAGCAATCTATAGATTCAATGCAATCTCAGTCAAAATTCCAATGACAATCTTCAGAGAACTAGAAAAAAGAATACTAAAATTTATATGGAAACAAAATAGAACAATCCTAGGCAAATAGAGTAAGGCTGTACGTGTCACAATACCTGACTTCAAACTATACTACAAAGCTACAATAACAAAGCATGCATGGTACTGGCAGAAAAAGAGATTCATAGACTGAATAGAAGACAGAAAAACAAAGTCACTCACTACCTGCCATCTGCTTCTTGACAAAAAGGCCAAGAACATACATTAGAGAAAAAAAATAGCCTGTTTGTGCTGGAAAAACTGGATGTTTATATGTAGAAGATTGAGATTAGAACCTATCTCTCACCCTATATAGATTGGGTTGGTAGAGACCCCACCAATTTATAATAGGTCAAAGACTTGAGTATGAGACCTCAAACTTTAAAACTGCTATATGAAAACAGAGAAAACCCTTGAAGCTATCAGCATAAGCTTCCTGAATAGGACTTCAATAACATAGGAAATAATGGCAAGTATCTAGAAATGGAACTGTATCAAACTAAAAAGTTTCTGCACAGCAAAAGATACAACTAACAGAGTGAAGTGACACCTTAGGAAACTTAACCTCCCCCCAAAAAAAAATAGCCCAATCAATAAATGGGAAAATGAACTGAAGTAACTTCTCAGAAGTGCCCATAAATATATGAAAAATGTTCAACATCTTTAGCCATTAGGGAAATACGAATCAAAATAACGTTGAAATGATATCCCACCCCAGTCAGAATGACTATCATCAAGGATACAAAAGCAATAAATAAATAAACCAATAAAACCTAGCAAAGATGTGGAGGGAAATCTACATTGTTGGTGGGACTATAAATTAGTAATAAATTACTACATTTTCCTATGGCAACCAGTATGGAATTTCCTCAAAGAAACTAAAACTATCATATGACCTACTTATACTACTCTTAGGTATATACCTAAAGAAATTAAAGTCAGCATCCATAAGGATAATTGCATAGCCTTGCTAATTGAGGCACAATTCTCAATAGCCAGATATGGAACTCCTAGGGGTCCATCAGTGGATGAGTAAGGAAATGTGGTATGTACATAGTGGAGTATTAGTCATCCCCTGAGAGCAATAAAATTGTGTCATATGCAGGAAAATGGTTGGAACTGGAGAACACCATGTAAGCAAAATCAATCAAAGAAAGACAGCTATCCTATGTTTTCCCTAAAATGTGGTATCTTTAAGAGAAAAAAAAAGATGACATGAATTAGAAAGAGACTATTATTAGACTATAGGAAGGAAATTAGGGAGAGGAGAAGGAGGGCGATAGGGAGAATAAGTATGATCAAAACATAGTTATGTGCGTGTGTAAAAATACTACACTAGCCCAGCATAGTGGCACATGCCCATAATCCCAGGCCTTGGGAGGCTAAGATAGGTAGATTGCTGCATGTTAGAGGCCAGGCTAGGCTAGGTAGTGAGTTCAAGGCCAGCCTGAACTATACAGTGAGACCTTGTCTCAAAAAACAAACAAATAAAGAAAAAAGGAAAATACTGCATTAAAACCCAATATTTTGTAAAATTAATCAGCATTAACAAAATATATTTAAATAATTTAAAAATGAATTATAAAAGAATGAAGTGAAGGAAGGAAGGAAAGAAGAAAGGAAGAAAAAGGTAACAGAATTAATTTTGAGGGAGCTGGAGATATTGCACAGTGAGTGCCTGGTATACCATATGCCCTAGGGTTCTATCCCCAGGACCAAAAAGAAATAAACACAGAAGAAAACAAAAATAAGTCAATAAAAACAGAACTGGGTGAATATAGAAAAGTAAAATATCAATTTATAGAAGGTATAAAGAAGGAGATTACAAAATATGTGCATGTTTGAAAATACCACACTGAAACTCAGTATTTTACAAAATTAATGGAAACTAACAAAATTTATAAAAAATAAACTAAAAAACTAGTGTTTCAGTGACATAATGACTGAATGGTGCTGTGTTGTTTGGTGAATATCATGAAACTTTGAGATATTTAATTTAATCATATAGAATGCAATTTTGTACAGAGTATGTGCTTAGCTATTTGTGTTCCTATTTCAAATATAATTGCATTTACACTGCATGAATCATAATATCAAGTCAAAGCCATGAAGGTGGGTGTCAATGAATAAGTAAGAAGATATGTTTACTAACTGCAAAAAGAAATTTTGTGAGACATACCTACAATAATGCTACAAGAGAAATTTATTGCCAAATACCTGTTAGAAAACAAAAAAAATCTCAAGTCAGTAAACTGTGTACCCTTTTCAAGGTCCTAGAGGGGAAAAAGCAAAATAACCCTCAAACAGACCGAGGAAAGAAAATAATAGAAGTCAGAGTGCTGAATACACTGAATATATTCAATCACAGAAAGATGATTGGACACAATCATTAAATTTCTGCTTCCCCTCC